AATTTCGTGAAGATACCTCGTCAAATAAAAAAATGTTCCATGCAAGCACTTTACTCCGATCGTTCAGTTAATATGGCAGCTATATGCTATAGTCATCCGATCCATACAATTTCTTCGGAGATTAGATTAATGCTTTAAATAATAATACATGCCAAATTTCGTGAAGATACCTCGTCAAATGAAAGAGTTTCCCATACAAACACTTGATTCCGATTGTTCAGTTTGTATGGCAGCTATATGCTATAGTGGTCCGATATCGGCCGTTCCGACAAATGAGCAGCTTCTTGGGGAGAAAAAGAAGTGTTCAAAATTTCAGATCGATATCTCCAAAACTGAGGGACTAGTTCGCGTATATACAGACGGACAGACGGACGGACGGACAGACAGACGGACATGGCTAAATCAACTCAGCTTGTCACGGTGATCATTTATATATATACTTTATATGGTCTCCGACGTTTCCTTCTGGGTGTTACAAACTTCGTGGCAAAATTAATATGCCCTGTTCAGGGTATAAAAATGTATTCAGGCCGCAAAGTTTTAGAAGCGGTTTTGTTTAAATTTTTCAATATTAATATTCTGGTTCTATACAGAAATTCAGCTTTCTCTGTCAGACATTTAATTGTAGAACTTCAGGAAGTCTTTACTTCTGAGTTATGCAATTAAAATGTGCTAATTGTTGGAGATATCAACATGTCTACAGGGACTACAATAGGAAATCTGCTCCAAGAAAAAACGTTAGTTCCCTGCTTGGTGTAGAATATTCAACTACACCTGCCGGTACACAAATTGATTGGGCATTTTCAAACATGGATCCTTCCCATGTTAATGCAATTACTTTTGAGACAGTACACAGCTATCATGACAGTTTTTGTGTCTCTATTTCGAACTAAAGTTTTCAGACTTATTGCAATAGTTCTTAATTTTTTTTTTAATATATATTAAGAAATGGTATAGCAATTTTGACAGTAGTTTTTAAGACAATATTAAGAAAAATATGTAAATAATCTATTGTAATTAAGAAAATTTAAATTATATGTATAATTTGTTATTATATAAGACATTATTTTATAATTATATGATAGAAATTAAATAGTATAAGGAGAAAAGAAATAGGTATAATGTGGATATTGGTATAAGAATCTATATAAAAATTTATGTTTAATATTGTAAATATTATATACAAATTGATATAATAATATAATTTTTAAAGTTGTTAATATTTATCATTTTTAAGCTAAACATATATAATAATATTGATTAAATAAATAAAAAATGTTATTCATTGTCAAAAAACGATTTATTTTCATACCCCTCAATACAGTTGTACAATAATTCACTCTATATAAAATAAATTATAAGCGTATACAACAAAGCATAAGAACGATCGCTCTAATTATAAAAATATATAAAGAAATCTCAAACGAGTATATCATTTGACTATGCGAGAGTATAAAATGTTCGGTTGCATCTGAACTTAGCCCTTCCTTACTTTTTAAACTCTCGCAACTTGTTGCTGCAGAGTATAATAGTTTTGTTCGCCTGACGGTTGTTTGTATCACCTAAAACTAATCGAGTTAGATATAAGGTTATGTATATATAAATGATCAGGATGAAGAGACGAGTTGAAATCCGGGTAACTGTCTGTCCGTCCGTCTGTCCGTCTGTGCAAGCTGTAACTTGCATTCAAAAACAAATAAATGACATAACTAAGCTCCACAATAAGATACAATACTGTTTTTTGGTATACAGGATCACATTAGGGAGAGGCATCTGCAGTTAAATATTTTTTCAAAAGTGGGCGTGGCCCGCCCCCTAATAAGTTTAATGTGACGGTGTGAAAATGGGTGAAATCGGGTTACAACTCCGCCCACTCCCCATATAACGGTACTGCTAAAAGCTACTAAAAGCGCGATAAACCAAGCACTAAACGCGCACGAGAGATTAAATTTTATCTCTGTGATGGTATGAGATGACTTTATACTAACCACGTTCAAAATTAGACAATGGGCGTGGCACCGCCCACTTTTAGGTGAAAGCCCATATCTTGGGATCTGCTTAACCGATTTCAATTCGGTACATAATATTATTCTCATATTTCTATGCTATAGTGCGAATATGGGCGAAATTGGATTACAAACACGCATATTTCCCATATAACACTATTTTAAATTCCATCTGATTCTTTCACTTTCCACTATGCAAATCAAGCAACAATGATTATATCGGGGTTAACTTTGCGTGAATACTTCGTTTAAAGTATGCCACCTTGTGACCAAAAATTTTCTAAATCGAACCAAAACTGTTTAAGCCCCTAAGTACTGAATAAGTGGACACCAGTTCTTATAGTTGACTCTTTATCGAAAATATCGGTCAAGGTGTAAGATATACTTGTATAATTGAAATTCATATAATAAAATAAATAAATGAAACTCTCGATAATAGTAGGCCTTTGTTCTTTAATACAAAATTTTACCAACACCTGAAGTAATTTCCCGGGCAAGTTGCGAGAGTTACACCCGAACTTAGAACTTCCTTACTTATTATGTTTGTTTTTATGTCAAAGAGTCGAAGTATTGAAGACTGTTTGCGCGACGACAATGCGTCACAACATTGTGTTGTTGGTAGAAAATCCGAGCTGTGCCGAAAAAAAATAACGAACGGTTGGTTCCGCTTCCCTCTCCGTTTTAACAGCTTTGCGCGAAAATACGCTTGTAGGCAAACACATGCTCGGGGAGATGTGTGGGTGTCTGTTTTTATGAATGAAACAAGCTTGGCTGTTGAAAGTACGCTTGCGTTTATGAATGAAAATGTTGTTGTTGTGTGACATATTGACTTGTGACGATTGTTGTTTTTGTATAACAATGTTTGTAGTTTTTGCGGGTGACATATGTATTTACATGTGTACGCATATTCATATGTAGGTTGGTTTGTGTATGCATTATTTGTTCGGCAAAGTCATATATACATACATATATGTGTGTACATATAAATCAATGCGCGCATATAGGGTATATACAAGGTGTCATATTGTGTCATACCGTCACATTGTCTTATTTTTTACTGTTGTTGTTTCCCATGTAAAATTGAAATACGACAAATACAACATGGCAAGGTATGTTTTTTGAGTGTGCTATTCTATCAGCTGTATCTATTAACTTTTTTTATTGTTGACGTTTAAGTGTCTAAAATTAAGTTAACAAGTTATGTATTTTTTAAGACTATTAAAATACGACATAAGACAAAGCTTGTGAATTGCCTAACTGTGTAGTGATAAGTGATAAAATCTTGATTTGGTTTGAACCTCTGAATGCGTACATTCAAATGCGCATGTGCATAAGACTATATAAGATTAATATGATGAAAGATGTATGTATTTATATGTTGTAATAAATTTAATCTCTATTTGTAACAATTATAAGATAAAATATTTATTAGGAAAGTATATTATGTAAAAACTATATAATATTTTTAAATGCACAAACTGACTATAAACATTATTTTGAAAATTACATAATTTAAGTCTTTTTTTTTAGCGACTGGCTACATAGTTGCCTGTGATTGGTAGCCGATAGCCATACATAATGGTATTTTAGAATTCTAGCGATGGTAGCGTTACACAATAGGGTTGAAAATTTAGTACCTGTAGTTGACTTTATATCGAATATTTATAGTATTAATAAAACTAAAATATTTTGATAACTTAATTTCTATATCATTCGGTAGTGAAATGTATGACTACAGCACTAAGATCGTGAATGTAGTGATTTGTGTTATATTTGAATATAGTGATTTTAGTTGAATCATTTCGGACATGAAATATGGTAATGAAGCGAAGTGAAAGAAATCTATTTTCTATAGTATTAGTTAATAAAAACCAAAAAATCGTGAATGTTTATTTACAGTTTTATGAAGATGTTTTTCTCTGACTCTCTCATCCTGTTTCGAACTTTTCATTTACTATATATTTATATTTGTATATCTTATACACTTACATGTATTTATATCTAATGGAAAAATATCGCTTCATCTATTATCTACTGATGATCGCCGATAACGAGTTTTCCTTTAAGTATAGTCCGTATGGTCTCCTCTTTTTGAGATAGTTTCTTTTGCATTTTTTCGATCTCTTGCAGATGGCGGGCATGCAACCCACGCACTTGTGACTCCTTATGCTTTACAATGGTCTCAAGACGCTTTAGAGCGTCCCATGTACTTTGTATATTTACTTGTCCTTCCTCCATTTTATGTGCCCATTGTAAAGCAATTCGCAATCGTGCCTTCAACCGATCTCTAGAGCGCTTAATTTTTTCGGTAGTTCTCTGAAGAGAATAGACACTATTTTGAAACTCTTCTACTGCAGTACGCTGCTCATCCAGTCTCTTCTCTAACGTTTTATTTTCCATTCTCATTTCAGAAATTCTTCTATTATCTTCCATACGTTGTAATTGAAGTTCTTCAACAGATTTCGCGAGCATTTGTTTTTCGTCCTTGTGCTGTTTTTTCAACTGTTCTAAAATTGCTTTACACTCTTGTAAATCGTGTTCCATGCCATCAGTTGCATGCGGCGTAACACTTTTGAGCGACAATAGCTCGTTCTTGCATCGTGTATAAGCCGCTTGTAAGTGTTCCAAGTCCAGAACCAGAGACTGCATTTTTTGCTCATAACAATGCATTACTTCCATTAGCTTTTCTTTGGCCAAGTCCGATTTTCTTGTTTGCGCTTCGACTTTCGCGCGGCAGACGTCGATTTGTGCCTGCAATCGGGTACGTTCTTCCCGCCAAGACCTAACCTCTTGACGTAAATTTTCATTTTGATGCAATAGACTATTATTTTCTTCTAGTGTTCTTTTCAGTTCCCCTGTGAAATGTTCAAATTCCTGTTTATATTGTTGTATTAAGTGCTCTTTATCGCTTATCATTTCATCATACGACTGTAGCAAGGGCGCAAGTGTATGTGTACGTATATCACTCTCTTCCCAGGTTGAAATAGAAGACGATTGTGGAACTAGACCATCAGAACTTGCGTTATTTGTATTGTTTGTAACATCTTTAGAAAGGCGCAAATGATCCTGATAACTTTCAATTTGTACATTAAGACGATACACAAGAGTCTTCATCATCGATACATCAGACGCTAATGTCTGATTGACCATCGAACACTTGTTGAGTTGTTGCATTAGCTCCTGACAATGACTACAATTTGCGACTTCGAACTGCAAGCTCTCTATACGATCCTCTAAGGTATGTATGTGCAAACGAAGCTCTTTATTTCGTACGTCAAATTGTTCATTGAATTTGTGCAAGGTGGCTAAACGTTGCAACAATGTTTCCATTTGTTTGTCTTTGGATTGCAGCTGTAAGCAAAATACAAAAATCATTCCATTTTATTTGAACATATTGAACAGCTGTTTTATTAGATATTACCACTTCATTGAAGTAACTGTTAAGGCGGATACTCTGTTTAATATTGGAGTTGTGTTCTGGAAAACGATTTTCCGCAGATCGAGAACGGCGATTAAAGTTGCCCGAAATGGTATGCACCTGTTTTTCCGAGTGCCGTTTTTTGTGAACTTTGCGATTTGAATCATGAGAGACTTGTACTTCTTGCTGTTGCTGACAGTCAGAGAGATCCAGATCCGTAACGATTACATGTTTACGCTGCATTTCGTTTTGTACCGACGTCATTTTTATAAAGAAATTTATCTAGAACATTGAATTGTCTTCACTGATTGGGATTTCATTTCTACTCTAAAAATTACAAGTGCAAAGTAGTGTACAAAACAATCGTTATATGTCTCCATGGTGAATACTAGAAATATATGTACATACTTACATAAGTAATTAGCATTTTGGGGGTAGGTGCATTTGATTCATTAACTTTCGTTGAGACAAAATAGCCGTTTTGCATTTTATTAAACTTTTATTTGATTCTTTGCTTCGTTAAACAAAACAAAAAATTGTAAATTATATCGCATTTTTATTTTTGTTTACTAATTTTAGTTAAACTATAAAAATATTTTGTTGTAAAAATAACCAAAAGTTTGTTCAAGTTAAGTTATTTTATTTTACGTTAAATATACGTAAAGGGCAGTAGAGGCAGAAAAAGCTCTTACTGCCTTAGCTTATAATTGGAGTAGAAAATTAGTGACTCGCTTCGTTACGCTTTGGGTTAAAGGCTGTTCGTATATATGTATGTGTGTATTATTGCATAAAATATATCATATTTTCAGCTAGTTAGGTTGAAATTTTAAATTCAGTTTTACAAATTTTCCGATCTTCTCTAATACACCAGAATACACAGATTGCATTAGTTGTTGGTAGGCTTCTTCGCCCATTTGCATTCGCAGTGTATTTAATTGCCATTCCAAATATTCTGCGAGTACAATCTTATGTACTGGATCTTTAAGAGATAGCTGTCTACAGCGATCATAATGATAAGTCTTATAGTCAAAATCGTCCATTATACAATAATTGCTTGTATCCAAGTCATGTTCGTCGAGAAAAACCAACGAGTCGCAGAATTTGATTTCCTTTTCGCCTGCTGAACGAGGCGGTGTATTTACAACGCTATCAGAACTGTTGATATCATCCACTTCATTATCTTCCTCTCGCATCACATCCATAAGTGTGTCTCCAATATTTTGCATAATTGCTGGAAACCGTTCTACTAATATTGAATTATTAGTAAAGATCGATGCAAAGGCTAGCGCAAAAAGCTTTCGTTTTTCTACTTCCGTTACCAATGGCATCTTACGTATCCACACGTCAAGTATAGTTTCTAAAGCATTAGGCAACTGTAATTCCTGTAAAACTGCAGTGAAAACAGATTGATTAATAAGCAATACTCTTGCAACCATCATCAAATACATTGACATCAGCATAGGAAATTCTTTGTCCAGGTACACTTGCTTAAAAATATAAGGCAAGGCGGGTCGTACTAATTCCAATCCATAATTTGCATCTGACTTCAAGCAAGTTTCAAACACTTTAAGCATCAAGGCAATGCCTTCTGGCCGCAAATCATCGAACATTCGCGCGCAAAACTGTACGAATTCCTTTCCGTAGCGTTCAAGAAATGAATGTGCATTCAAGAGTATGTATGCCTGAATTAGGATCAAAACTATGCGTAAATTTTCCGAGGACATTTCAATGATAGGCAGAAGGTTTTTGCATAAATCTAGCAGTTCTGTAGACATAACGGTCGAGTTCTCTACAACGGCAACCCAAAGCGCCAAACCTTCCTCGATGAGGTATATATGGGACAGCTCCTAAACAAACAAGAAAGTGGAGTTCGGATTAGCACAACAAAAATATATTTAACGAATTATATATCCACTATTAACAAAAAACAGTCCCAACCAAAAGAATTTCCAATTAATTAACTTTATTAAATAATAAGTGAATTTCTAAAACTATTCTGTAGATGTTGTTGTAGCGGCAAAAAAAAATAATAGTGGAATTATTCTTCGTTTTTCGTTTCACATTTTCTAAACTTGATATTAATGGTTCTATAATTGAATATAATGTTTTCTGTTTGCTGGGATAATAATACTACTTTTTTTCTGGTTGTCATAGCAGTAATATTATTATGAAACTTCTGGGAGCTAATATTTGGGTACCTTATAACTAATTGCAATTATATTTTGATCATTTTATTCGTCTGTTTATACGTTTGGGCCACATGTTCCTAGTTTAATTTTTAATTTAAGGCAACATGACCGACTTTAGAAGAACTGCAAGTATTTCTTGTAAATTATTCATATTAAAAAAAATTTTTTTTTATACAAATTCTTGTTCCTTCTGCGCAATGCAAGAAATTATCTGTTTTTTTTGTTAGTCGATTCAAAGTTTTTGCATTTTTCATTTAAAAATCGCAGCAATAATCATTAGTTACAGTCCCTGATTTTAAACAATTAGAACTGAGGTTTCGTAACACTAAGAATTCGCTTTAAGGTTCAGGTATATATTATTTGTCCCACAAAGACCATTTAAAGCAAGCCCTGCAATTAACAAAATTAACTTAAAAACGTCGCAATATGAAATATGTCCTAATCCGAATTAATACTCATTATCAGCTACATTATGTTCAAAATGCAATTTTTGCTAAAATTGCTTTTACAAATATATCAGTGTTTAGCATTAATGTTGATAATCAGAATACAACTGTATTCATTGAATTGCATTTTTTAAGTACTACCTGAAGATTAGTGCTGAGCTGTATAACATTGTAGAGGAATGGCTTCATAGATTCCGGTATATCACGCAATGCTTTTGCTAGTTGCTGTAATGTGCATATGATAGCACATCTTAACATATTAAAGTCCTCGCTTTCCTTCCATAAAAGTGGTAGATACGATATTAGATTGTCAGCCTGGGGTTCAATATTGTCACTCATCTTTTCTACAATACACGACATTATGGTCAACACATTCATTTTCGTGTCACATTCTCTAGCTTCTCCCAATAGTACAAAAAGTGCATTAAAAGAAGGTTCTAAATAAGGTAGGAAATGCTCGGGTGCAAATTCAAAGTCTCCAATTAATGTGGATAGCGTACGGGAAGCTGCCAGTCGTATCGACATATCTTCAGTTGCACGAAGTAAATGCAGGCATGCTTCGTAAGCCAAAGGACGTAAGTTTCTTGAAAATTTAACAGCCGCCCATTCTGCAACCAACCATATAATTCTTCTACGAAGAATTCGAAAATTATCACTTTCAATCCGCAACTCCGCCAATAGTTGATTACTAAACCAAGAGTCAAAGTCAATGTCATTGAAAAAGTGAAATGAAGCTAATCCTGCAGAATTGTATATGGCATCTTTTTGAAGTATATCTTTAAGATCAGATGCGGGAGATAATTCGATTTGCTGAGCTTTTCGTATATACTTTACAACCTCAGACGTCATTTGAGACTGGTATTGACTGAAACATGTGAGGAAAAATGATTCAATACACGGACGAAGGGCATACTTCCAGCTCTCTCCGCCATCATCTTGTGCGAAGCCCTCGGGATCTTCCATCCATTGATCAAGCTCGATTTGCGTTAACAAGAAATAATGAGTTATAACTTTATCGCAAATATAACATAGACGCTCGTTTGTGAAAAAGTCTGATAATGCTATATGTGGAGCTGCGTCCTGTTCAGCTGCTAGTTGTTCACCAGTAGTTGTTGAATTTGCATAAGCACTACACATCAATATCCCCTTCATAAGATTGATGCAATGAATTCCAAAGTTGCTGAAGTTTATGACGTTTTCGGTAAATATTAGACGTGCACCTTCATGGAAGACATGTTCAAAGCTAAACTCTAGTGCAACAGGAACAAAACGCGCAAATGAACTGGAGTGTATATCCTGAAATTCAGTTAGCGTCTTCATTTGTTTTAATATAAACTTTTCAATTAGTTTTATTAATTGTTCTTCAGCTCCAAGATGTTGTAATTCATATCGACACTCTAAGCATTGCTTCAGTCGCGTAAATATCTGTTCGAGAAAGCGCATGCAACATTCTACCTTAAAGGGCTTTGGGAAACCATAAACTGTAAGTTTTCGTAAAATTCGCATCGATAAAAGTGCGCGTTCTAAAGTTGATATTGCATTTATAGATGCCGTTTTGAGTTGATGAAAGAATAGAGTTGTAAAAGCATCCCACAGTTCTTGCATGTATATAAATAAATTCCCCGCTAGTTCTTCAAAAACACGTTTTTCTGCCATCATGCGGCGAGATGCCAGTGCTTTTATCACATGATGTAGAACAAGTAAGACTCGTTGTTGTTCTCCAGCATCACCATCACCTTGTGCACACATTTGTAACTGCTTAACTAACTGAGGTATTAACTCTGGCCAGTCCCGAGGACAATCAATGCGTGCTATGCGTGCTATTAGCACTGCAATCTGTAAAGCAACTTGTGGCACTGGTTCCGTACTAAAGTTTTTCAATAATACCTGACGAATTTGTTGTTTTTCTCCGTTAGGGAGTTCATTTCGAGCATTCCGCCTCCAATACTTATTTATGCCGTTCTTTAAATAAACTGCGGCCATCCAACGCACATTCAAATCAATATGATATTGATGTTGCTCGATATTATTGCAACCATGCATTGCAAAACGTGCCAGAGTCGCAAAAAATCCTGGTTGTGTTTCCCATTCTGCCAACTGAGATTCAGCTTTAAGAACCACCTCATGATTAGGATCGGTGGCGGCGCGTAATGTTTCGCACACCATCATCTCGGGAGAAGCCAGGTCTATGTTCATCCCCTGTGAATTGAATATTTAATATGTAAAGCATAAGTAAGTATATAGCTGAATAAGATTCTTCGAACTTGTAAAAAATATTACAACACGAACAAAAATACTTCATTAACGCTTTTTAAATCCCTTCGTTGCAGTTGTTCTGTTCTCCTCACGAAATCGATTTAACTTTGCACAATTATATTTGTTTTAGTTCCTATATAGATGTTGACACCAAAAGTTATATGCAATAAGCTTAAAATTACATATGTGATGACAATTTGACAGCAGCTGTCAATCTATTTTTTGGGTATGTTCAAGAATGATAGAATACAAGAATGCGCCAAGCGCTATCTTTGAGTTGAAAAGAAGAAGCATAGAACAGCATGTAAATCCATAACAAAAACGTAAACGTCGTGAAATAGACTTAATTTATTAGTTTATAGTGAAAAACTTTTACTGAAGTGTATAGAATAATGTTGCATGCTAATATTTTAGTAATATTAATTTAAATAAATAAAATATTTATGTATATCTGTTGACTACATAATTGCCAATAAAGAGAATGATTGCAATTGCCATGTATCCAGCAGTAGTTTCTTACTTTATACACAAACATATACATATAAATATAAATAATTAACAATTTTTTGGCAACTTTTATATCCGAATATCCGTTATTTGCATAACAGTTCTTGCAACTTGCTATTGCACACTTCAGTTTTCAAAATCAATATATTTTATCCATATAAATTTAAATATATACAACCTTCGCAATCACATATCCTTTTAGCCATTCTCTTAATTGGCAATCAAGTTGTCAATAGTTAAATGTATCTGTTTGAAAATTACTCAACTATTTTCACGCAACATTGTTATCATATTATAACTTTATTTCACGAATTAACAAAAGTAACATTTTGTTTACAATTTACGTGCTGTTCTATGCTTCTTTTTCTCAACTTAAAAGAATTACGTCACAAGATGACGGCATAGTGCAATTTGTTTATGTAACAATTGTCACAGCCTAAACCGAAAAAGGTAACGGTAAATTATTGTCGTAATCTTGAATTCTATCATTCTTGGGTACGTTCACTTCAAGAAGATATTAGATATGTTCTTGACAAATATTCATTTATAATATTTATATAAACAACATACTAATTTATTTTTAAAACAGGATTTGTCTTGTACAAACTCACCCAAAATTGTAGGTATATATCTTTGATATATTGTAAATATATGTATATTTCTTTTCGGTTTTATCAAATGTATGTATGATATACGTTCTCTGCAAAAACCAATTGCTTCGCTCTGATAACACATTACGGAGAAAATTGTAACCCTAAAAAAGCAATAAGTGAGCAAACAACACGTAGGTGTTTTATTGATAAGAATTTCATCTGCTGCGGTTGAAAGTTTTGCGATGTTGAAAGCTGTTATCCTTGTTGGAGGCCCTCAAAAAGGTGAGCCATTTAAATTCATTAATTTCTATAAAAGTATTCGATTTATTGTATTTTAGGTACACGCTTTCGTCCCCTTTCCTTAGACACACCGAAGCCTTTGTTTCCAGTGGCCGGTCGACCTATTATACAGCATCATATTGAAGCATGCTTACGATTACCTGAATTAAAAGAAATTCTTATTATTGGGTATTATCCCCTAGTTCAAATGGAAAATTTTGTCACTGATATGCAAAATTTGTATAATATTAATATTAGGTAGTATCTTCAAACATTTTGAAATCTTTGTATTCCTTGTCAATGATATGCGTATTTTTTCAGATACTTACAGGAATTTACTTCGTTAGGAACTGCAGGCGGAATGTACCACTTTCGCGATCAAATTCGATCCGGCAATCCTTGTGCATTTTTTGTTTTAAATGGTGATGTATGCGCTGATTTTCCTTTACAAGATTTATATTCATTTCATAGGCAGCATACTGATACGGCCCTGGTGACCATTATGAGCACTGAGGCAACGCGACAGCAATCGCTGCATTATGGATGCCTAGTATTTGATCGTAACAGCGGGGTAGTGTCGCATTATGTAGAAAAGCCAAGCTCATATGTATCTACTTTTATTAATTGTGGTGTGTACGTGTGCTCCACGGATATATTTGCTCATTTAGCCGACGTATTTTATTCAAAAAGTCAGGAATACACAAATCACAGTTTAATTAACGGTGCCAATGGCAAGGATCAAGGACATATTCAATGGGAACAGGAGGTTTTAACACCGCTTGCTGGTACCAGAAAACTCTACGCAATGCCAGTACCGAATTGGTGGTCCCAATTAAAAACTGCTGGCTCAGCCATTTACGCTAATCGCCATTTTTTGGGTATTTATTGTTTTAAAAATAATAAATGATCGAGAGCTTAATCAATTTTAACAACACTTATTGCAGAACTTTACAAAAATGCACATCCAGAGAGGCTGGCTAACGCTGGAACGAAGCTAAGTGAACAGGACTCTAATTTGGTATGCACAGTTCTCCCCGATGTTTATATTCATCCAAGTGCCACAATTCATTACAGTGCAACGGTTAGTCCAAACGAATATTTCTAATATTAAAAATAAATGTGTGTAAAATTAGCTGGGACCAAATGTTTCTATTGGACCAGGAGTTACCGTCGGTCCAGGCGTTCGAATTCGAGAATCTATTATACTTGAAAATGCAGTCATAAAAGATCATACATTGGTATTGCACTCAATTGGTATGTTATACAGTTGTTCCAATTTTTTTTTTCAATTATTGAATATTAATTTTTAAGTGGGTAGGGGATCCATAATTGGCCAGTGGTCGCGAGTAGAAGGTACTCCGTCTGATCCTGATCCGAATAAGCCATTTGCCAAAATGGAAAATCCACCGTTATTCAATAAAGAGGGTAAACTTAATCCTTCAATTACGATATTGGGTAAGAATAATTATTGATTGATTATTTATGTAAATTTTTCAATAATATCGTGTGTATATAAATAAGTTATTGAGATATAATTAACTTGTTTCACATCTTTAATTTTATTAATATATTATATTATATATATAGAAAAGTTTTAATAATTGACTCTTCTTTTCAGGATGTTTTGTACAAGTGCCGTCTGAGAAAATTTTATTAAATAGCATTGTCTTGCCGCACAAAGAATTGTCTAAAAATTTCAAGAATGAAATAATACTGTAATTTAATATTGTTCTATATATTAAACTTTTATGTCGGTTCTATGTCTGATTTTTCCATTTTTAGTTTGGGCAGTATCTCGAATGTTTCTTCGAATTGCACAATAGTTTTGCAAACTTTGTTTTATAATATTTTTTGATACGATCCGATTAGGTCACTCTAGATTCTCTCAACTGAAGTTATTCGTCTGCTATGGGTGGTGGTTTAAGTTCAAGTACGTCATTCATGATAGGGAGTTGGTGAAAGTGTAGATGTCTCCACTGTGAATGGCGGTCAGTGCGTGTCTAAAGTGTTGCGTCCGTAGTCTGGTCGGCGTATTCGATGTCTTCGACATAATTAAGGATAAAGCTCTTGATGCTCTTAGGAGACGGCTCCACTTCAAGTAGCCGCTTGCAGGTTGTGCCTTAACGTGATGCATGCAGGGCTTACTGCATCCTGCAATGGTATACTGTAAAGGGTATGGAGTGAGTGGAGCTTCTTCGTCTACGTTACGGCGACCATATCGGTGCAGTGTAGTTGATAACCGGTCGGTCGTTGCCTTATATAATAACGTTTCTTTGTTCTTACTCCAGGAGCTGCCGGCTAGCAACTTGAAGATTTTGTTGCAGCTCTGTACTATGGCGATAATCGCGGTCGTATGAGGAGTGAAGGAGCACAGGCTGTCAAGTGTAACACCTAAAATATTAGGGTTGTTGACTGTCGTAATTTTAACACCATCGACTATTAAGATCCAGTCTATACTCCTTCGTCCAGTTAGTGAAAATGGTCGTTGTTTATTGTCCTAGGCATTTATGACGCTAAGTACTGTTCACTTTCCGGAAGCCATGATGATGGCCTACTAGACTCAGGTAGTGAGTAAAAAGGTCTTAAGTACTGAGGAAAGGAGAGTTATCGGACGATCGAGCCTAGATGCTTTAGCATCAACATGTTAATTCCGTCTGAGCCAGTGCAAACTTCATGCCACCCGAAGAATGTATCTTTCCTTTGAAAGCAGAACGGAGATAGTTGGTCATATCACGTTAGGTGCCTATCATGCCATCTGTACTAGAACTGTTCCCAGAACAATAAATAGGAATCCTTGGTGGTCGACCAAACCCTCGGCGCTAGGCAAATGGTGAATAGAACAACTACAAAACTAGCCTTACTGCATAAAGTATATTAGAACTGTCTTAAGGCAGTTTAAGAAAGTGTTGTGAAGATGTCTTTACAACCCCGCGACAGCTAGACTACATGATACCCTTGTTAAACGAGCTGTAGATACTATAGTCCAGTTAATTTAGATATTTGAAGTTACATAAATTCATAACAAGCTGATTTTAAATTTGTAAGATCGTTTAAAATACAATTATAAATAAAATTTCATTGTTCCTCTTCTTTCCCATGTATGGAAAAAATTCTTTTCAAGGTCAAAGGTCAAGATGAGATATTTTTATGATAAATTTACTGTTTTGCCAAAAATCACAAATAAATGATATTTTTGACATTTGACCTTGATTCGATTTTTTTCCATACAGGGGAAAGATGGAGAACTTTAAAATTGACACAATAGTACATTAAAGTATAACATTCGAAGAATGTTGTGTAGAATTTTCGCAAAAAAATGGCAAAAATAATGCAATTGCAGCAATTATTCGGACGTATCTCGAAAATAAGTAAAACGGTGCTCTTTATAGGATAACTTAGTGTTTAATTGTCCGAAATTAAAAATTAGGGTTTATTCGTTAGATAATAGTTAACGCCGAGAGGGTTTTTCGAAATTTAAACTTTTAATTTTTACAAACTTAACATATTTGGAAATAATGTTCAGAACGGGTGTTAAAAATTCCACAATGATCGGGACATTTGTTTTGAACAATTAAAGGTCGTTTTTAACACTAAAAACAGGTATAAAAAACCTCAACTTCGTCTATTTTGCTCCAATCGACTTGGAATTTTGATACAATGCTCTTGAGATATCCTGCATTCAATTAAAAATGTGTAATAAAAGATTGTAACACCGTATCTATACTATCAGATGCGTTAATGCGATTCTCAAAACGAGAATTGCTGAAAGTAATATAGGCTCATGCATTACTCAACCAAGGTGGAGTGTTATCACCTTTACTATCGAGTCTAGCAGGGGATGAGCTTCTGGAATTGCTAAAATCCAATGACGTCAGGATCAAAATAGTAAGAGGAAAATTTGAATTTGATTAAAACTTGGGGCTGCTAACCAGACTGCTACGCTAGATGTAAACCATGATAGTTAGATAAATAGTCCTATATGGCGCGGTATTGTGTGGCTCTCCTGTGACAGTTGAAAAACAGCTACACAAACTGCAAAGGCCATTTGTGTGCATCACTGGTGCCGCTACATTAGAGTTGGCCTCACTTCCCTCCATATCGTTGTAGAAATATTAGTAAGAAGAGCAATCCTAGCCTTAACGTCATTAGAACTTGTTAAGAACAGAATAAGAAGGTCATCGGAAAGCTACGAATAGCGCCCTTCCCAGGGAAGATAGACGATGCTTTGTATCAAATATAGCTCTTCATTAGTTGTTATTCTATGTAATGCAAATAAATTGGTATTATGTTTTTTTCTACCTGCAGTTTTTTTCTTTCATATTACATTATATATATGTATAAAATTTAGGTGTCAGGTTATCAGCGGGGTAAACTCCTAAACTATAAAACTGATTTTAGTAAAATTTAGCACACTGTGTCCTGTTTGATCGAACTTAAAAGATATGATCGTTTATATCTCAAGCATGTTAAAAGTACAACAATTCATTAATAAAAAAAAAATATTTGTAAACATAGGCATGTGAAAAGAAATAGTAATAAAATGCCAAATGAAAAATTCATTATTTAAATAATATTTTCACAGGATTGAACAGTTTATTATAATTTTATTTACAGCAATTCACGTTCTGTAAAGAATATGTTTAGCGCGCTTCGCTATATGTTTCGTCACCTATATGGTCACTTAAAACTTTAAACGCGTTTTTCTAGAAACTGTGTTTTCAAAGTCGGTGGTCAACATTTCTCGCGAACTACTTAACCGATCTTAATGAAATTTTACACAGGTCTTTGAGATATTAAATTACAATTAAATTCAATTAAAAAAAAAAATGTCGAGCAAGTTTAACCGAAATTTTCATTTTGTTGGAAAAAGGTCTGCCAAAATTACAAATTTAACTTTTTTTTTCCTCTGTTCAAGCACGACTTTATGGTCTAAAACTAAAACACGTATTTTTTTTTTTATTTTAGTTGATCCTGTCAGGAGTTATGCTGACAACGCGAGCGCACCTTATTTTCGAGGGGTCACCGGAAATGACGTTACAATGGCGGAGTTTTAATTTTTTTATTTTAAATTTCAGAAATTATTCTTTAAGTGTGTATCTTTAAGACAGAAAAAAGTTTGAGTTAAATAAATAATTTTTTATATAGAAAAAAAATTATTGAAAATAGGAATTTTTTAACCGACGAAACGCATGTAACCCCTGAAATTGAAGCTTATGATCTCGGCGACATTTAGTTTTCCACTTCCCACATAATGCATCAACCAATGGATTTATTGAGAGAACACTTCGGTTAGTAGATAATTTTACGTTTTGGACCGGTCGATTGGCCACCAAGATCGTGTAATATCACACCGCTAGACATTTTACTGTGGGGATATATAATGTCTAAAGTATATGCGGACAATCCCGCTTCGATTCAGGCCTTCGAGAGAAATATCACGCGTGTCATTCGCCAGTTACCAGTCGAAATGTTCGAACGAATCATGGAAAATTATACTCAACGGGTGGACCATCTGAGAATCTTCAAAAAAGAAATGCCAAAGAATGCTCTTTTGAATGATAATAAATTACCCATCTAATTTAAATTTTTTGTGTTTTTTTTTTAAGTAGGGAGCCACGAAATTGATCGCCCTATATATTCAAAGATACTAATCTCACTCTGATCGGTATAGGATAATAAACCCAGTGCTACTCTGATCCAACCGACTCGAAGACCACAATTCGCATTATATCAAGAATCATGACGATATGAGAGTTTTTGAAACATTTGGAGTTAGTATGCGCAGCTAAATTAAAACTTTGGACAGTTGAGATTTAGAATTACATTCTAAGAATAACTTTTTTTGTAGAATGTTCCTTGTTTAGAGAAGCCAGTTTAGTTTTTAATGCTGTGTGCTTGATAAATCAAGTGTGATGGAGTGAGAAATAAAGTCATAACACATGGGTATAATGGTTAATATTATGTTTACTTAATTTTAAAAGTTCCTTTGTAAATGAGCTGGGACGTTAAAGTTTCCCTCAGTCAATAGGAATGAACTATAAATTGAATCATTTAGAAATTTTACCAAGAACATTATGCCTTTCAACGACTAATGAGTGTAAGTAGATTTAAAATATTAAACGGCTATTGTGCGGAGGAAATGTTAACGTATAATCTCATCAGAAATGTGTTAAGGGCAGACAAGTTTTTAAAGATACTCAAACTTCGCGAAATGGAAATTGAGTTGTTAACAAGGGTTCTATTTCACTAAACCACGACCCAATTTAGATCTCTCCAAAGGTCAAAAGTATTGTTTTCTCGTACTACTTAAACTGTGAATAGATATTCTATATTTGGTATTTATATCACAACATACATAGGTATAACTAAATACTGAAGTGCTTTTCTATAATTAAACAAGTAAGGAAGGGCTAAGTTCGGATGTAACCGAACATTTTATACTCTCGCTAAGCCAAATAGTATACTCGTTTGAGATTTCTTTGTGGATTGACTGATATTTTCGGTAGAAGGTCATCTATAGGCACTGGGGTCCACATATTTAGTACTTAGGGGCTTGAACAGGTGTGGTTCGATTTAGACAATTTTTGGCCTCAAGGTGGCATACTTTAATCGCATTATTCACACAAAGTTTTATCCCGATACAGTCATTGTTGCCTGATTTGCATAGTGGAAAGTGAAAGAATCTGATGGAATTTAAAATGGTGTTTGTTATTATGGCATTAGCGGTTTAGGAGATATGCACATTAAACCTATTAGGGGCGGGACCACGCCCACTTTAAAAAAAATTTTAACTGCAGATGCCCCTCCCTATTGTGATCCTGTATACCAAATAAGAGTCTTGTATCTTGTTGTGGAGCTTAATTATGGCAATTTATTTATTTTTGAATAATGTACACATACACATACATATACAACAAATTAAAAATGGTACACAAATAAATTACCTTCCTCATAAAAATGCTTAACGCTGAATGAGAGAATGAAACAACAAAGTTTCATGTTTGAACTAATCCTGGATGCTTGAAATTAGAAATTTTGATACCGGCAATAAGATTTACATCGTCTTTTAATACAAATATTTATTATAGCCTTTAAAACAGGTTCCTGAGCCAATATAAGTATGCTAATGCTTATTCCAATTTTCCGTACAAATTTGCCATACAAGAACTTTATTTTGATTGATCAGTTTGTGTGGCAGCTATATTCTATAGCATTCAGACCGATGTCTTAAAATTTCAGGGACAAGTTCGCGCATATAAAGATAGATAGACGGACATAGCGAAATAGACTAAGGACTTCACGCCATTAATTTAGATTATAACGCGTATTTAGCGTGGGCTAGTCTTAACCCGTTAAATACGTGAAAAGATTTATTGTTTATTTGATTGATTTATTAGCGCGGGTTCACACACGAAGACTTTTGTTGCCCAAAATCGTAGTTTGCATGCGAGGAGGCGACGGAGAAAGACGAAGTGCGCCGAGTTGTTCGTGTTCATGTTTTGTGTTCTTGTTTGTAACAGTTCGATATTCTGTTTCATTTCGAAATTCCTTGGTTGCCGTTCCGCTCGGACTTAAATGAATACTTACAATATGTTCGAAAATTTGAATTTTGTCACGCATTTATTTGTATATAATATGCAAATATGTTTAAAATAATGCATAATATTATATGTACCACGTCTATATAATATAAAATTAATATTATAAAAAATGGTGAATAAGGATACAAATTAGCTAAACAAAAATATTATATGTACCAGGTCTATATAATATAAAATTAATATTTTAAAAAATGGTGAATAAGGATAAAAATTAGCTAAAGAAAAATATTATAAGTACCACGTCAATAAAGGGTACAAACTTTGACAATATGATATGAAATAGAATGCATAAAATTGCCCGACTCATATCGTCTGTGTGAATGCAATGGGCAACACTAAATGAGAATTAGAAATTCAGTGTAAGATTGAAAGCTATGGAGTTTATTATAGTACAACTCAACTCCTCAAATTCACCCCAATGATTTGTAGTTTATTCTGTATATCTCTCTGAACTGGTTATTTATAAGATCACCATACTTGAACACAAACACAACGAAAAGGGTTTTCTTCTCTCATAGGTATGTTATTATTCAACAGGTAAACGGAAAGCCAGCGTAATCTCCATTATAAGGTGAAATGTGTGTGTACAGCTACACATACATATACCGTGAGAGTGCGTAAAAACCTGTTGCTGTATGTGTTTGTACAAATTTACCTTACGATACTAATATACACGTTGAACGAGTATTGCTATGATGGCTGTTGCTGATTGAAATGCCAGTAAAACCGTGTTCGTTGCGCCTTAAATATGCTGCTAAAACGTTTCAGCGTTGTTAGAGCTTTTTAACCAAATTAAAAAAATCAAACAATAGTAAATAGTTGCACTTACTTATCCTAACATGTTTTAAAAATAATTAAATCCAGTTCAAATCTGATTGGACTAATATTAGTTACATATGTAGACGGCTAAAAGCCCTCGTCTAAAGTGCAATAAGAAATAAAAGGTAAAAAGTTAATCGCTGCGATTACGAAAACAGGTAGGTAAGTATGTAGGCAAGTGGACAACGGCATGGTGAGAGTTTTGAAAGAGAGTATATATTAAATATCATAAGAGTGATCAAGTTTCGAAGAGTTGTACGTTCTCAATGTTTGCTTGAACCCAATAATACTTAATAGGTTGAAAAATTTAAGTGGAGGATACTAAAACTTAATTTTAACCACTGTTTTACTTATTAATCCCTAATGAAGAAATTGTATATGCATAAAATGTCAATATTATACAAATATCCGAAAATTTCTAGGTGTATAAGAGAAATTACACAAGTTTAGTTTGTAGTCGTAGCAAAAGTTTTAAATGCAAGCAAAATTAATAAAGGTGTAGTTTTGGTTTACTTTTCTAGTTTTAATTCTTAAAATAATATTCATGTCAAAATAAGCTCAATCTAAGAGCCTATGGATTAGAAAAATGTAGTGAAATAATAAATATGTACATACCTAAAATCAAATAATTTCATTTTTTTTTGCACATTCACTGAAAAATAACTGATTGGCTCTTCAAGAAAATGCTGGATTAATAATCGTGTTATATCTGCAGAATTGTGACAAAACTAGTTATTTGTACTGTAGCTACGATTTGCACCCGAAGTGTGCAATATTGGGCATATAATTATATTTATATGGACAATACCTCCGCCTTAGCCATACATACTTATGTATATACGAATATATATGCTTATATTAAACATTTTGTAAGTGAGTATATCTTATCTACTTACATCGAACTGGTGTTTAAACAATTTTCACGTAGTAGCTGTATTTGTATATTATTTATAAAATAAAATATCGTAGTAATATTTTTGGTGCACGCAAAGGGATGCAAGGGATACTTTCAGTAATAATATCTATCTTTGGCAGGAGATAAAATCGGTATTAATATGTAAAATACAATATAGAAACTGACAATAATTATAATAATCCTTGCCTCATAATCGTAATAAACAATTGCAAAAGTGGATTCAATTGTTGTAAATAAATATCATAATTTCTGAATAAAATGGACAAATTAGTTTATTTTCAGTCAAACGTTTTATACTTTTGCAAGATGTTGCTACAGAGTATAATAGTTTTGTTCACCTAACGGTTGTTTCTATCCCCTAAAACTAGATAGATATAGGTTTACATACCATATATATTATATATAAATGATCAAAATGACGTCCGTCTGTCTATGTAAGCTGTATTTTGAGTTAAAAGTGAGATATCGTAATAAAACTTGGTACACATGTTCTTTGGTGAAAAAGTAAGAACGAGTTTGTAGATGGGCGCAATCGAACCACTGCTACGCCCACAAAACGCCATTAAACATAAACCTATAAAAGGCCATAACTAAGCCCTAAATTAAGATATAGAACTGTAATTTGGCACAGGTGATCGCAATAGCAAGGGGCACCTGTGGTCTAAAATTTTGGAAAAAACGGGCCTGGCTCCGTCCTCTTAAAGGTTTAATGTACATATCTCCGAAGCCATTCAAGCCAAAATAACCAAATTCGCTCAAGATAAATTAAGCACCCCTACCGACACTGTAAAAATGGATGAAGTCTAATGATAGCCCCGCCCACTTCATAAATAATAACTAAATACGCCAGAGACATTAAATTCTAAACTCAAGATGGTATGAGAGGACTTTATAGGAACCGTGGTCAAAATTGGACGTAGGCATAGCACCGCTCACTTTTAGGTGAAATCACATATATCGGGACCTGCCCTACCGATTTCAACCAACTTCGGTATATAACTAACATTCCTATGTTACAATGCGAAAGTGGGTAATGAGTCAATCGTATGATGTTATTACAGATATTAATATTAGGTTATAATTGTTCCTAGATGGAATTGGGAAACATTTGTACCATGTGATGAAATGGTTAGAAAATATCATTTGGTAATAAGTATGGTATGTAAAAAATAGGTGCTATTAAATTGTTACTAAATTAGAAACCATATCAAGCGTCAGCGCCGCATTTATGTTAAATAATAGTAAAATAAAGATGAATTAAACCTGCCAGTTTCAATCATTAGAAATCAGAGTATGTGTCCTGGAATTTGAAAATACTTAATCGGGCGATTTGACTCAATGTTGCGTTTCTTAAATGGTAAAGGAGAGCGAGGGGAGATAATAAGAGTGCAAGAGAGTAATTTACGTTATTGCACACTAGGTAATGGTAGTTGCTCAGGTGTGCTATGTTGTTAGGAATATCAGCAGCAATACTACTGCAATAACTTTTCTATATGTGTTCTCATCACATACAGTGATTGCCCATTAAATAGTTTAACTCAACAAGTGAAATTTACTTTGCGTAGCTTTAAATCAAAATTTCTATACTATATTACCCCGTGATCCAAATAATTTTATTAGGTATTGTTTCATTATCTTTTTAAATCCCGGGAGGTTCGCTGTTTTAGTCTGATAACTTCGATATTTTTTGATAAACAACCGTAGCGTTGTATTTATTTTAAGATTCATTTGTATGTACACACAGGGCGTTCATTTTGGCTAATCATTCTTATCACTCAGAGTGTATATATTTTTATCAGCTGTTAATTAAACAAAGATCTTTTACTGGTTTTACGCTTAGGTATAAGAGCACTTATATGGTAAAGTACAATAGATACTCGGTATAAAGAACGACTGCTGTAGTTTGTAGGTACGCACTTTTATATACATACAAGTACATATGTAAAAAAGAGCATTTATACTATATACATAAGTGTTATATAAGTATACAGTTACTACTAATGATTTTTTGAGGGCACATGTGCGTGAGTATTTGAAATGGAAAATATGCCAGCAAATGAAATTAAGTTTTAAAAAACACTTATCGAGTGAACTGCTGTCTCTCATTTGTTCAGAGTGTGGTAACAAGGCTTAAACATTCAAGCGTGACTTACTTATGTATGTATTTGTATACGACCGACACCTCATGGAGGAGCAAGGAGAGATCGGCTGTGGGACTCATTATAACAAATAAAACGAGTACCGAGGTGAAATTAGAGTTAAACCATAAACGGGAAAGGTGATTGTGAGCACAGCTCTACGCTCTCCAACGTTTTAAATATCTAAACTAGAGTATGTATGCGATTTGGATAAACATATATAAATATGATATATAAATAAAGATATTACTTTCCTGAGCTTGAAACATAACCAAATTTTTATATAAATAGCTACGTATATATTTACCTATGGAGTAAGCGTCTTACCTGTATGTACCTATCTGATATTTATACATACATACATATGTGTATACGCATATGTTCGGATATGAATATATGTTTATACATGATTGTATGTGTATTAAGTGTTTACTGACTCTCATTTTTCGTATATTTGCTTATTGTAAGATACGTTTGTAGTTTCACTTGTTAACATTTTCTCGGCTATATTCACAACATTTTGGTCAAAGGCTGATGCCTACAACGTCGATCATTAACAACCTCAGTCAGTTGCTGACATTCCATCGAGAGATGAGCGCGAGTATACCGATAACAGTCGAAATTTTCTCAACGTAGTAGTCTTTAGTTATTGCCAATGCGGGTTTGATATTGTGGTAAATACTGTTTCATGTATACATACAAACATAAGTTATTGTCGAAATAAATACTAGATTCCCTTGGTGAAAAGAAAATATAAAATTTTATACACTCTTTTCTTTTAACTTTCATTTGCTAAACATATACCATAAATTTATATAATTTAACAGTTTTTAAAAATACAATAAAAGTGTATTTTATGATAAAATGGTTTTAAATATATGCGTAGAATATACAAAAGTCCATACTTAAGTGTGTAACGACGACGTGAATATATGCGTTTTAATGACTGTAACCAAGTCCTATTGATGGTATGAAAATTGTTTGTGGAACACACGACAAAACCGAGAAGGGGAATATGCGAAGAACAGGTTAAATGAAAAGTGCATGTTAGTATTGTATGGAAGTGTATACATAAGTACCAATCAAATGAATTTTAACCTTATTAAAGAAAATTGCAACTCGTACAAATCTGTGAATACATACGCTAGAAACTGTGGTGTAACAGGTAGTCTCCACCGAAACAGCAAAGTAACAAGTGACAAGTGATAGTTGGAAAGCCAACCAACACGATAAGGAGGTAATAATAGCAAGAGAAAACATTTAAAAGAGATCAAAGAAAGCGGAGTAACTATAAAATAAAAGATCTTTCAGTCGATAGTAGCTTCGCAATGGTAACTTTCAGTTGCAAATATTAAGTTGAAAATATATTTCTCATCTCAAACACTTTGAGTATACGCATATGTTTCTCCACAATAGTAGGCATTTACTCATATGCCATATATTATAGGTATGAATGTATGCAGTTGAGCTACATATTTGTTTGTCGTTTGTTTGTAGTTGTCTACTGTTACTACACCGTTGGTAATGTTATTATAGAATGGGTAGAATTGAGAATCAAATGGTCTCGAACACAGACCTTAAGGATTGTCTTTAGGGTATAACTGGATTTTGATCAGTTGTTAATTAGAACTACTAGAAATTATTTGTCCGTAAAATCATGAAAACGATTAGTCACTTGTTGTGAGCTTTTGGGCACAATAAGATTTTTCATAGAATATGCTCGGACAAAAGAGAAAATTTTGTGTAATGAAGATCAAAAGTTACATCACTAGCCTGGGGTCAATTAAATCCTATTCATACATGAGATAATCCATTTTGTTTGTACATCTATTATAGCCATGTAAAGTACTTTCTACATTCAGATATAAGATACATTTTTATTCATACATATATGTACTTAAAGGGGTAAGTGTACGAGGAAGCGATGGGTAAAATTCCGGTTGACCAAAATTTTAAAATGATAAAAGAGGTTACATATGCCTAATTAAGGTCCTCTCTTCGAAAAGAATCAAATAACTGAGTGTACTTAAGACATGAAAAAGCTTCCCATAAACTCCATAAGACATTCGGAGGTGGTTTAATATTTACAAAAGCCTCTAGAAAGTAGTGTACATACATACTAAATTTTATTTTGATCCGTATATACATTCATGAATAAGTTTCTAGACGAAGCAAATATATTGTTTATTATATTACTTTTTAAATTCATACATCCAATCGAAATCGAAGCATTTCAGAAAGAATTTTATGAACTTTGGCGAAGATAAAACACAACTTCTGTAACGAGTTCATCCATGTAAACTCAAAGTATTGTTTTTGAATAATAACCATTTTTGTAATTTTATATGGAGTTCAGCTGATAATTGCTTTAACTAGTTAATGTTGTATGATACAGTCCGCAGTCTATGAAGAAAAAATTGATAAAATCGTGTGATTACCCCTCACACTCCCAATATAACGACGATAACTTGCTAAATAAATACCGCCAACCTTTAAATGAAATCCTGATGCTTTCAGTTTACAGTTCATAAATTGTGCGAAAATGTACCTCACATAAATTAGATGGTACTCCTAATTTAACCCCAACGCAATTTAAATGTATGGTTCATTATGCACAGGTTTGGTACCACTTGTAGGTGTTCTGGTAACCATTCTCAATGGAGTACAAAACGGAAGATTTCTTTTGAAATTACATGTGTTTTTAAATGTGATCCTTAATGTAATCACACGAAATTTTTTTTTATACTCCTGCAACATGTTTCACAACCTACTGGACCATTTTCAACCAAATTTTGTGTTTGAGGTTACCTAATCAATACTATCATACACTGTGAAAATGGGCAATATCAGTATGCACAAGTAGTGTCCTCAAGGTATTTAATCTATCACTTTTCTAGGACCCAGACAACCAATATGTGGACACCAATGCATATGTCTATTTTTTTACCGAACATATCGGTCAGTTTATGAGTTCTTTTCAATTCAATTTACTTTACAAACCTGTACTTGTCTTCGTATAGTCGGCGAATAATAAGTTGAGTTCGGCAACTGCTGTATTTCCAAGGAGCATTTTAAAAATACTGCAATATAGTGTGACTGGACAGTGTTGTGTATAGGAATATATTAATGAATATTCTCAAATAATTGCGTAAAATAAGTAGAATAATACTCATTTTAATTAACATGGCATTTGACTCAAATCTATATCATAATGAAACGCATTATATCTATAAATATTGTTATTTGATTTTTGATAATACCAATGTTTATACTTGCTTCCAAATATAATAGTAGTTTGAGAATAACGGTACAGAGGAATATAGAATTTTACAATCCACTAGCCATGATTAATGTAAAATAGTGTCAAAAAGTTTCTTAGCAACACACAATCTGACACAAGCAGATAAGTTAGAATCTTGCGTGTCGTTGTCGTATATACTCGTATGTGTGTTGTTTATGTATGCGAAAACTTTATTATAATTTTATTTAATTATTATATTCATGTGGATACAAATTCCTATAAAAACAAGTTGACATAGATGCACATATTTACAAATACGCTCATAAACACATACATACTTATAAATTTGTATATAAAATATTATAACAACTTCACTTATAGATATTTACATATATACGACGCCTATACAAATATGTAAATACATCTATAAATGTCTAAATGTGTGTATATATATTAAGTTCGTACGCAATCCATCATGCATTAAATTGCGACATTAGTCGGCATTGTTGAGTATACTCGATTAACCCATACACCTTTTGACCTTTGAACATTGCACGTCCGAGACCGAGATATCACCGTCTTTACTCGAACTGAATAAGTTTCGCGACAGTAAATGCTGATTTTAAGGTATTTTACTTTTCATCGAGTATACCTACATATTTTAATAATATACATATATGTATATATATATATATATAGCAAAGTAGGAAATTAATTATTTTTGATTAAAAGAGAAATTATATCGTCAAATTGAGCACTGAAATGGGTCAAAACCAGCTTTTGCCCACTATTTTTATACTTACATATGTATGTATGAAGTTTGCTAGGTTTGAATAGAATAATTAAGACAGCTTATCATCTTAACTAGAGCGCTTCTATGTCTTTACTCTATTTTTGATAATTCTGTTAAGAATTTCTATTCGCGATATTTTCCTATCTTATGATATTTAGATATCTGAATATGTGCTTTAAATAAAAAATATAATATATTATAATCCAAAATCAATTCTGGGAAATGTTATACAAAATTTGTATATGAAAAGCGGTATCTATATTAGGACGATGAGGAGCTAAATTCTGCTCTTAAAACTGCTTTCAAGAGTTAGACCAGGATAGATAATTTTTGGAAACAAAAAAAAAATCATAATAGGATGAAACCTATGCTATTGGAAACGAAAGATAAAATAACAAACATTAAAGGAAAAATAGCTTTCGGGCGGTTTGAGATCGGGAAAAGGAAGGCGAGGGGCGTGGTTGAATTTTTAAGGGTTAAACGGCTTATCTCGATATCCGGCAAAACTACGAGTTCTGTAGACAAAAGTTAAGTGGAAATGTTGTCGGTAATGAAAAAATCTATAACATTTGTACAGAGACTTTTTTCACATAATTCACATATGTGAAAAATTCGAAAATTCAAGGTTTTGGGTTTTTTATTTCTCTCTTGTACAAAAAAAAATTTCTTTCATGAATTTTGGTGTGAACTTACCTTCTTGAGTTTCAAACACACCACAATTTTTTTTAAATATTACGGATGAAACCTTATTGCATATATTTTAAAAATGAGAAAAAGCTTTGCAATTGCTGAAAACTTTTCTTGCTGATGGTATTAAAAACATATACAGTATTATGGTAATTTTGCTCGGAAAACGCAAAAACAATCCCCCTTAAACGATTCAATTCTGATTTTTTTACATCTTCTACTACGAAATAATAATTAGATGAAATAAAAAAGCAGCTTAAATCATTTTCAGCTGTTTAGTGAGGTCTGTTTTTGCATTTTCTAAGAAAATTTAGAAAATGTATATATATTTTACTCCATCAGAAAATAGATATTTCCACGAACACAAACCCTACTGACTTTTAAAAAAAATCTAATATTTTGACGTTAGAATTTTTCATTGAAAATTAGATTATTTTTGATATAAGGTCAATATAAGGTTTCCTTCTTAATATTTTAAATTTAAAAAAATGCAGTGTCTTTGGAACATAAGAAGGTAAGTTCGTGAATGAAATATTTTTTGTACAAGATAAAAATAAAAAACCCAAAAACTTGTTTTTTTCAATTTTCACACAAATTTTGAGGTTATGTAAAAAAAAGTCTATAAACTGAACTTATAGATTTTTTCATTATCTTCAACATTGCTATTTTTTCTGTAGGTCTCATAGTTTTGCCGGAAATCGAGATATACCGGTTTTAACTCTTAAAAATTCAACTACGCTCCTCCCCTTTCTTTTCTCCACCCTAGATTGCGCGTATATTATTATTCTTTTAATGTTTGTCATTTTATCTTTTGTTTCCCATGGTTTATGACCTACTATACATTTCTTTCTTGTTTTTATCATTTTCAAAGGCTTCTGCACTAGTTTAAGTTCTTTAAGCAGTAGGTTGAACGAATTTCCTCCATTACTAAATGTACGAGTAATTGCTATATACTTATATGTACAAGTTTGTGTCCCTGTAACCTTAGCTTATTGCATTAGATAAATATTTTAATATGCAACCAATGGGCTCTTAATTTTTATGAGAGGAACTCCGCCTTACAGTTTTCTATTCTTTCCTTATTATCATATAGAAAAATTCAAATCTCGCTTACAACTACTTGAATAGCTCGTTTCATAGGAAATGAAATGGTCACTTATAATTAAAAAAAATATATATGTATATATCACTTATAAGTCAACAAAAAAACAAAATATATAGATATATATGTATATATACTTATATGGTATATAATACAATATGCATTTATGTTCGACGACGAATATCTCGTAAACGCTTAACTTGATGGACTAATTATAAGAGACCATTTTAGTAGAGCAGTAGTTTACATTTAGTTATAAAATTCATAAGAAAAAAAATTGGCTTAAAATAAACAAACTTCAACCGTTAATATCTTTTGAATGGTTAGGTATACGAAAAAATCGTTAGGAACCCTTTTGTAGAGTATTTTATTTTCTACAAAATCTATGGTTTTTTGACCTACCCTACTATATATATTTATGAAATTAAATGACTAAGGTTTAAATTTGTTTGTTTTCTTCCAGGAAATACATTAAGCTGTGAAAACCTTGGGACATGTCTACAAATGTGAAAATCCGTTAATTTTATTTATAGAATATATATATATAAGCATGTATATACTCGTATATACATATATAATATAAAGGCAGAACGAAAATATTCCTTCCCAAACGCACATATGTACATATGTACCTATATGCGAAAGAAATTTGCTTAGTCAACACTTCAATATTTTAAACAAATCCACGAAAATACTCGAACTAATATAACAAATGCAAAAGCCAATAAAAGGAAAATACATCCTGTGATCATATTCAAGACATTCTAATAAGCCAACAGCCATAAAGCAGGCCTTAAAAAGGAAATATGCAGGTCTCAGAATATTTGGTGTCAGTATATATCGCAACATGTGGACAAAATGGGCCCGGACTTGGAGCGGATGAAAAGGAAATAATATTGCTGGTTTATATTATTTTGGAAGCTAGTAGCGGAAAGGTATTTAACTTTGATGTTATTATAATAAGCACTATTCGATTTTAGTTATTTATATTATTTTATAGTTTATATATTTGAAATCTTGTAGATATGATCTGAAAAAAATACAGGAACCGTTCAGTGTCGAATACAGTTTGTATCGATAATGATATATTTATGAGCCAAAAACATATTTTACCTACACCAAATAGTGTTTTTCAAGCGGTGTTAAAATAAAATACAATAGCTCTGTCTTAACATGTAAGTTTGAATTTACCTTTATTTATTCAAAAATGTTATGGCATTTGATGTTGAAACAGAAATAAGACCACTACTAATTCAGCTGTTGTAGGTGGATAATAATCTTTAACCTGACGTACCCTCGTAGAAAGTAATCTAATAAAATCACCAAATAGCAATTTGGGTTGTTCCCGGTCCGATTCGGTAATTTTGCTTACTTATGTTATCATCACTGAATATGAATTTTAAATTTTCTGGAATGAGCTTTTGCGTGGTAATTTGCAAAATTATACTAAGTAATTACTATCCGGTTTGATAACAATTGCTAAAAACTAAACAATAACATCGGTTTGTTTTAAGCCAATCCTAAAACAAAACTAAATTATAAGTAATAATATATGAGAATCTAATAATGTCATATTTTATTAGGAAAGGTTTTCTTAGTACAAATCAGTGCGTATGTAGCTTAGATGGAAATATAAACTGATTTATAATAGTAACGTAGTCATATGTACTCTCTTTGTATTAACGCACATATAACAAACATAAATATGGATATTTTTTCAAAGCGGTCTTAGCTTTCTTTCATAACTTTATCATTAACTCTGTATTTACCATATTCCTTCCCGGGGTTCAGTGTGATTGCCATAATATTAATAAATATTAAAGTGACATTCTACTCCGAAAAGAAGCCCGAACTGTTGTGTGCAATTAAGTGCACATTTACCGATTATATGTATAAACCGAACTATTTGTGTATTTGATAATTTCAACTAATATACACACTCATGACAACATAAGGTCGTGTCACACCTGCAACCGCGTTTTGCTAATATTCACAAAAGTGAAAAAAGATCACTAGTGAAGATTTCCACTTTTTTTTTTAAAGATGTGCTTTATTAAAATTATTAGTGTATTTTTGCCAAATGATGTTGATTTGCTAAATATTCGCATACTATATCTTACATATGTATATGTGTATGTTTGTAAACTCTTGAACGTGATTTTTTATTATATGAAAATTTAAGCATGCCAATGAGGGGCTAATGGCACTTTCTATTACGTTTTGGAAGGTTTTAAGCAATTGTACTGTATCAATTATTTTTTCAATATATGCATACATAGTTTTGTTCTACTCTACTTACTCACATGTTTGAAAACATTATGATGATATTTTTCAAAAGTATTTACTTTTAAAGAGGTTATCGGAAGATATGCACAATTTTTATTACCGTCAAAATATTGTAATATACATTTGTATGTATACTAAGTCAGATTTGAAAGTTTTTAGATCAGCGTTGCTATATGTTAAGAGCACTATTGTTTTTATTCAAAATGGTATTTTATGGTAAGTAGACGTACTTTTATTCAATTTGCCCATTTTTGCACTATGAGGTACGAAAGGTGCCATTCTATTGCTCGTTTTTAAATGATCTATATGCAAACCTATTGAAACATACTTATGGTTAAATTTGAAGTTCATTCATATTTGAGATAGATGTAGCACTAGTTCCTCCACTTTCATACTGCATTATGAATCGGTTGAACGTAATTTTTCCTACCGATATTGGGTAGGTTTAGGAGATATTTACATTAAACTCAACTTTTGGGACCCCTAACTATTCCTTACTGTTATCTTTTGTGTAGTTTGAATTTTGTAGTTACTGTGTTCAAATTCCTACTTCCTTGCCTAAGAACACGTGTATAAAGCTTCTTAAGATATTTATTTTTTATTTTTAACGAAGTCATAGCTTGCAAGTACAGACGGAGATGTTCACCATCTTCAACTCATTCATTTCTATATCGCACTCGACTAGTTTTTAGTGGTTAGGTCAGCAAAGCTATTATACTCTGTCCAGGTACTCTGTTAAAGGTGTATAAAATTAAAAATGTAGATACTTTATATGTACATAACCATTGTACCAGAGATGCCAATTTTTTCATGAAAAGCTCTATAATTTCAGGATCCCACGCTGATTCATACCATTTTTAAGTTAGCATTTGAACTGCAATGATCTCGAACGTCATTAAATGTCCGACATCTTTCACTGGAGACTTTCGTGCAGTTTTAGAGCCTTTAAAACATTACATAACCGAAAATCCTGTCCATAAAAATAACCCTTGAACCCTGGATTAAAATCCTTATATTATATGTATACATAACTTGTGGCTTAAACTCCAGCTTTTAGTGCGCGCATGTTTTGTAAATATTTATACACTTAGACATAAACTTGCTACGTATATTTGCTCACTGCACACACATATTCAATATGGATTGCACTCAGGCTTTGCCTACCTATGCGAGACCTTATTTTCTAATGACTTCACAATTGCATTTCCAACAGAAAATTCAAAGCTCATAACTGGAAATGCTATTCATTTACTTTAACTGATTGGCTTATAGTTACTACAATAATGAAATATTTGCGTCCTCAGTCAAGTGTGTATATATATCTTGCGACATATTTTCTAATGATAATTATATTTATGGACTGCAACAAATATATTTATATTTTTTTTATAATAACCTAGTTATTCAATCCAAAAGTTCATATACAATTTCGCCATACGTTTACAAAAACTTGACCATATTAAACGAAATTAAGGTCATACTGCTTTTATTTCCATTTTCTACAAGTAGATACAGTTCGAAATTGGAGCCAATCGGCCAATAACCACACATGCTTTTAATGTAACCAACTTATTTATACTTGTATGTTATGTATCGGGTTCTTTTGATTTGAAGATTTTAAATTATATTATGGCTCCATAAATGAATGAAAACAGGTTTGATCTTTCTTTAGGTCCCATTGCCCAGCATTTAATAATAATATACGTTAATTTTACTCTCACCATAATTTGTTTTATGGTAAAAATTAATGAAATCAGTTTTTCCTAACCAATATCCGGTTAACTTTATACCTTAATATATATAGATCAATATGTATAATATTTTTATGAAGGAGGAGGAGTATTTGATAACCTTAAAACCTTTTTATATAAATTATTGCAGATACGTTGAAATATTGCGCACTTTGTTAATACTTAACTGCGAAAGTATCTTATTTCGACAGCGCTTAAACATAACCCTCGCTTACCTGTTAATGCTTTTCTCACATCGACTTGAGAATGGCTAATAATTTACACTTAATTATACATAATTATGACTTGCGCTCTAGTATTCTATTAATTATTTGTAATTATCGTTAAGTTCTGTTGCTAGAATGCAACTACATTTATTGTAAAATATCTAAGTTTCAGCAGAAAATGTTGCTCATAACAGCTTGCGCTAGCAGGGTCTCCCAATATTCAGTGTACCGCCAAAATTAGTATGAAGTAATGAACTAATGAAGGACTACTAAAGATAATCGTTCAAACTATTAAATGCTTACTGAACTTCATTTGAAAGACGTGATTACTTTTCAGATTAATGAATATATGAAGCGTTTGTTTAACCCATTGGAAACGAAAGTTAAGATAACAAACATTAAAGGAAAAATAATTTACCGGCGATCTGAGGTCGGGAAAAGGAAAGGGATGGGTGTGGTTAAATTTTTTGTTTCTTGATATCTCTACTTTCTGATGGTATAAAAAAAATATATTGTACATTATTACATTTCTAAACAGCTATTCCACCTATTATTTCGAAAAATCAGCTATTTAGAGGGATCTGTTTTTGCAATTGCCATAGTAATGTATATATTTTTTATACCACATATCATATCAGGTTTTCTGACTTTTAAAAATATTCTGAAATTTGGACTTAAGATTTTTTTATTGAAAATTAGGGTTTAGGTAGAAAATAAATCTAAAGTACACAAATCATCTTTACATATTATATAAGTCCCATGGAAATGTAAATCACGCTTAAATTTTTTTACTAAACCATATAATAGTAATTGAAATATCCTCTTTTAATTTTGCTGAGATATCTTCTATTAAGATATGTACGATATAAGAATAACCAATGAGACAAAATTTAATATATTGAAATATGAGGGAAAAGTAGACCAGGCCTCGACTGATTTCATTCATACTCTTCGCTAAATTACATTACAATTAAGAAAACATATCCACCTAATTTCATTAAAGTATCATACATATTGATAAGAAAAAACAGTTTATAGTCAGCTGGAAAGTCGGACAACATTTTATTGGGTATATTTGGGTTAGATGAAGTTTTGGGAAGATAACAATTAGTTTTACCATTAGACTCAATTTATGCTCGACCGACTTATTCAGCACAGAGTCCACAAGAATAAAGATAATCGCTATATATATATAATAACTGGGGAAATTCTTGGATTGATTTCACTCATTACATATTCACATATTATTACTAGGAAAATTCTCTGAATTTCTTGAAGTTATCTTGTAGACTGACCGATATATACGGCATAAAGTCAACCATTAGTTTCGAAATCATTGTACAAAATTTATGGAGGCTAGGGGAAGTAAGGTCTCGATTTTTACCAATTTTGGATAAAAGATGATCTCTTAATTTTATTAATATATCTCACATATTGAGTGATATTTTCAGTAGCAAGTTATTTGTATTCTCTGAAGTTCACATGTTCGGAATCTGGAGAATTAAAAAGGTATATGACGATTTCGAGCATTTTTGGATCTTAACTGGCATACCTTGAGTGCACTATTTTCGAAAACTTTATTACGATATTTTCACTAGTGCTTAAATTAAATACATTCTGTAGAAATTTAACCACTTCCTTTTTACTCACTCAAATTTATGTACATAAATACGTTTCATTAACATTTTTGTTTATCGTCCATTTTAATTAAGCCTAAAGCAAATGTATTACAGTTGGAAGGTACACATGTATGTATTTAAATTGTTAATTGGCTGAGGTTTCGACCTTTTATATAAACAAGTAAGAAAGGGATAAGTTCGACATACGATACTCTCGCAGTTTGTAAGAGTCGAAGTTTCGATTTATTTTTAATTGTATTTAAAAAAATATTACATTAGAGTTATAGCGAAGTCTTAAGAACTCATCAATCTTTATATCTGTGGTATAAAGTGAATCGGAACGACGAAGAGTCTAATATTCGGCTAGCTTTTGACTCTCTCTAAATTGGCAATCCGAACATGTTAAGGTCAGTATTTGGATTGAGAGAATTTCGATCGATAATCGTATTAATGATTGAGGCATGTATGAATGGTCACTGGTTTTGGAAGTTGATACTCGGTTTCCCCATTTTCACACTACAGTTTCAAATAAGAAATGTAGTATGTTCCCGAAATTTTGTTGACATAATGTTAGTAAGTCAAGAGAAAGGTACATTAAGCCTAACAGTGAATAAAACTTCGTATACTTTTCAAACCTCAAATATGTTTTTAGATTTCGCCCATAAACCTCACTATTTATCACAATTTTTATTTAAGTTGTCACTTGATAAAGTAGACAGATGGACATGCAGATATCTCAATAGTAATTCGTTTCGTTATTCTGATCAATTTTATATAAACTAAGCTGAATAATTTAGGTTTGAAAAACATATCAGACCTGTGCCATTACAACCCGTTAATGTAATAATCATTTAAGCACGGAACCGTGTACATGATCTTTCTATTAGAAACACGTTTTAAGGGTTACATGGACTCAAATTTATTGTCTTATATAACTCTATAGCGTCTCTAGAATATTATCCTAAATTCTCAAGTTGATTCGAGTAAGAGTTTTGAAGATACAGCCTTGAAAAGTTGTGCGCTCGAGGTTAGGTATATACTCACTAACAACTTTAAACGCGTTTTTTTTCGAAACTGTGTTTTCAAAGTCGGTTTTCAAGTCGGTACTCAACCGATCTTAAAAAAATTTCACACAGGTCTTTGAGGTATAATTTATCAAGTTTTTAACGAAGATTTTTTTTGTTTAATTACAACTATTTAAAAACAAAAAAACTACGAGATAATTTCACCAAAATTTGCATTTTTTTAAAACGTCTGCCAAAAATACATTTTTAATTGTTTTTTCTTTTTACTTCGTCCAATACCTAGTTTATGTTCTTAATTAAAATAAGTATTTTTTTCTTTTTACTTTTGATGATCCTGTAACAAGTTCTGCTATCAACGTGGAGGCACTTTTTCTGAGTGACTACCGGAAATGAAGTCGTAATGACTGAATTTTGAATAATTTCGTTTGAAAATTTCACAAAATCTTTGTAGAATATGTATCTTTGAATAATAAAAAGTGTAACTCCTTAAGTTAGATTTTTTTTTTAAATATAATCAATCAATTATAATATTTAAAATTGGTATTTGACAGGAAAAATAAATCTGTTCGCTGAATTCAATCCAAGAGAGTATGTAGATGAGTTATTAAAATGTTATAACCGCTTGATATTTTATATGTATTTGACACTCATTTAGGTGTCAGCTAATATTTTCCTTCCCATCATAGACCGTTTAGTTGCGGACTTTCTTATGTATGTATAAGTGTTTATATATCGGGTTTCCCAATAGTGCTGATATGATTTCTAAGTGTTGTTTCGGCCATTTTTAATATATCATGACCTGTAATTTTTTTTCCTTGTATTCAGTAAAGTTTATAATTTCATCATAGAAATTTATACGCAAGAACAACGTTTATAATATATTAAATTTTATTATCAAAATAATCGTTCTCCAATTGCAACTATTAAAGAAAATCATATTCTCCGATGAAGCGTACTTTCATCTGAGTGGTGCGGTAAATAAATAAAACAGTCTATTCTAGAGCGAAGAAAATCTACAAATTATTCATGAACAACCAGTACATTCACCTAAATTGACAGTTTGGTGTGGTTTTTGGTTTGGCGTTCTGTACTTTTTCGAAATGAAGCTGCTGACATTGTCAATGAAGTGCGATATAGATCGATGAAAACCAACTTTTTATGGCCGTAATTGGAAGAAGATCATCTTGACAACATCTGCTATTCATGACATACGACTTGATTTAACTGAAAAAGAACTCGAAAATTGGGTTCATCGAATTCGTTCCTGCAAAAGAAATTGTGGAGGCCATTTGAATGATGTTATAATCAGAACTAAATTGTACACATTAAATAACACATTTGAATTTCCTTAACAATTAGTGTTTTTCTATATATATTTTTTTAAAATCAGAAGTACATGTGTAAATACTTATTTGCATATTAAGATCGATCGCAATTGCAAGCATGGGAAGTGGTCTTACACTCAGAAATTTGTATGCCATATTTTATGAGGAAGATTTCTTAAGTGAAACAATTGCATATAAAGCATGCATATATTGTACGTAAACATATAATCATAGACAATTTCATACGTGCGTTTATTAATATCGCTAGAGGCCTAGATCCTGAATGTACACATATGTAAAGTGAGTTTAAGTTTTCAATACTTTTTTTTACCTTATTGTAACTATATATACAATAGATATAGAATAAATAATTATCTATATACTTTCAAATTGGAGCTGAATATTTTGTTAAAATTTCTTAATTAAAAATATATGAATAAAGCACGTTCTGTATTAAAAATAACTTTACTTTTAGATTATTGGAACAAAGCAGCTGTTGGTACGACCTGATGGCAGTTTTGCGAAGGATCGCACAGTGTCCGGCTCATCAGATGTTGCAGTAATGGTAGGAATTTCATCGCCTCCTCTTGCATCCCAAAATGCTGATGCCATTAACAATAACAACACTAGCATTAGTAACTCAAACACACTGTTGAAAAATGTATACAACAATCCAAGTACAACTGTAATTCATAGCAATAATACTAACACGATCACAACTGAATCAAGTAGTGGTATTGAAGCGGCAGATTCGATTACAACAACAGTTAATACAACATCAGTCCCCGATACAATTGAGCTGCCTGTAGCAGTTGCTCACTCTCAGGGAAAGCCCCTCCAGGAAGCAATAGACGAGGTAAGTTAATACTCAGTTCAATATTCATTCAAACTTAACCCAAGGGGCCAAATTTTTATGTATGGAGTATATGAGGAAAACATCAACGAAATAATGGGAAATCCCAATTTAATTCATAAACGGCGCCAAACCGCATTATCATTATCTATCATTATAAATATATGCTCCCTGAATTTCCTTACTAGCCTCACAGATAGATCGATATGTTCGATAAAAAATCAGCCATATACATTGGTGTTTGGTTTGGCCTTTGAAAAGTTATAGCCCGCTTTAGACAATTTTCGGACGACAGATGGAATACCTTGAGGGCACTACTTGTGCAAAGTTTTATTTGATTCACTAATGTTTGATTTGTACTGTAAAGTAAAAGAATCAAATGGAATTATAATTTTGTTATATGGGAAGTAGGCGTGGTTTTCAACCGATGTCTTCCACACTGTATAATAGGAATAGCTGGGTAACCTTACACACCAAATTTGGTTGAAATTAACCTAGTAGTTCCTGAGATATAGGATTTCACCTAAAGGAGGGCGGTGCCCCGCCTTAGCCACTTTTGACAGCTGCTTCTATGAAATCCTTCCTCTCTACCATCTTAGTTGTGAGTGAGTTATCGCACTTTTAGTAGTTTTCAACATAACCGTTATGTGGGGAGTGGACGAGGTTATTATCTGATTTTACCGAATTTCACAGTGCATGGAAAGGTGCCAAAAGGACTTCTTCTAAATAAGCTTTGAACATGAACTATTTAGGGGGCGGAAGCACGCTAAGTTATGGCCCTTTGATGCTTGTACATCTATACCTTAAAATTTTGAATTGGTACTGAATTCATAAGGGCGGGGAAAGTGAATATATATCTGAAAAAATTCAGTTCTAACTGACGTATTAGATAAAGTGAAGTTTCGTATTTATTTATTACAATATTTCATAATAAATGAAATTTAAAAAAGAAGAAGAAAAAAAAGATTCTGATTAACAGACCTTCGTTACTATTATATTATATTATAGTGATACTCAAACAAATCATATTAGAATCTTACATTAGACTAAATATATCGAAATAGGTGCAGATACATCTATGTTCCTACTATTTGTGAGTTACATTTGTGTGTGCTTTGGTAAAGGATTATGTATCTACATATATATATTTATGAACTTAATTTATTTTTAAAAATAACAACAATATTGAAGATAAAATATTCGCTAAACTATGTCCTTTATCCAACAGTTTGATGAATATTTACGCTCTTTGACATTATATGGCGATGATATCGATAGTATCAATTTCATTACTGACGGGCAACTTCCCTTACGCCAGTGTCTTCATCGCGAAGCCTGCGCCAAAAATATCCGGCTACCGAACTATTACAACCGCTTTTGTGATCTTCGTAAAGAATTTCTCAAGTACAAGTCGGGTGACTTATCACGCGCTTTGGTTCCCGTAAAGGATATAAAAAAAATACTCCAAATACCAACAGCTGCGGCTCCTCAGAGTATCGGAGAAATGATGAAAGGTTACTTATTATATATTATAATTGAAAGCTATTGAAACCAACATTTTATTTTATTAGAATTAAATATTACCACTAGTGAAGAACAGGAATTCTATGTTAAAGAATCTCGCGAAATGGTGTCGGTGATACAAGTAATGCTGAAAGGAGGTACGATTATTATTTTCGCATCACTGGTATACATATATAACTTTGTATGTTTTATAGGACACAAATTTAGAGCAAATGAAATAGTAACCCTTGTTCTGGAACCTGGAATTTGGTAAGAATATTTATATAAATGTTTGGTAATTTCCAGTTTAATATAAAACTTTCTTTGAGTGTTTAGATTTTTTATTGAAGTGTTATAAATTAAAAGATATTTATATATTAGTAAATGATACATGTTCAATATCTGTTTTTTATCCTGATTTTGCCTTTTAGAAAATGGAATAAATTAAACCGCAGTATGTTTTTTAGAATATATGGTATACATATTTATAATTTCCAAGGTAGTATCACTTCTAATCAATACAATAATTTTAATTTGGTGCTATATTGATCAAACTTATGCATTTACCACTACCAAATATCATAATTTATACAAATTGTATTAATGTATATATCTCGTTAAGATGAATTATTCAGTTAACATAAAGGCAGATAGATCAAATCAGATTTTGGTGATCAACTCATATTAAAAATATATTTTAATGAACTAATATCAAAAGTGTATTCTTCATCACTAAATATGTATACGAATTATATTATATATGTTTTATGTCGTTACTGCAATAACAATTTGACATGGTCACCATTTTTATACTCTCGCGTCATGTTGCAACAGAGGATAATGGTTTGGTCACTTAACGGTTCTATTGAACACCTAAAACTAATCGAGATAGATATAAAGTTATGTATATATATAATTGATCAGCATGAGGGACTGATTTTTATTCCGGGTGACTGTCTGTCGGTTCATTCGCAATAACTTGGGTAAAAATTAAGATACTTAGATCGTGTGTTTCCTATCAAATTAATAAGATTCGTATTGAAGATGCACGAAATCTGATCACTGCGATGCTCACAAAGCGCTTATAATCGAAAACCTATAAAATGCTTTAACTAAAATCCAAATTATGACAAAAAAAACTGCTATCTGGTGCTGGTAATCGCAGTATGGAGGAGCATTTGTGGTTTGAAAATTTTCAAAAAGTATGCTTGGCCTCGCATCATAATGGGCTCAATATAGATATCCCATAAATCAATAAGGCTTTATCAAAAAACCTTGATGAGGACATATCTTTTTAGCACGTTCACAGACTGTATGAAAATGCTGAAATCACACTTTAATTTTACATCAAATACTAAACATTGCCCCTATATACCGAATGTAATAATTCCAACCTTCCAGTTGGCTTTCTATTATATATATATCGGTTAATATAAGCAAAATTAAGTGAACGTACATGATAGTATTGGATCTACTATACTTGTAGTTTAATGCCGTAAATGTGTGAAATTGGCCCATGAATTACTCCAGTAACATATACTATATAGGTATAATGATATTCGTTATTCAGTTAATGTGTGAGTTATCTTCATAAAATTGCATGGAAACTGCACCTTGAGTATATTTGAGTAATGTCAAAGTTGATGCAATCAGTCCAGACTTTCCCCTAGCCCCAAATTCCCGAAATAGTGTTTTCCGACTTTCTAGCTGACTTTAAACGGTTTATGATGGTAAATATGAGTTATATTTTAATGAAATTGAATAAACATGTTTTTTAACATAACGTGAAGATACTAAATGTGATTATACCCTGAACAGGGTATATTAAGTTTGCCACGAAGTTTATAACACCCAGAAGGAAACGTCGGAGACCCTATAAAATATATACATAAATGATCAGCATGATGAGCTGAGTTGATTTAGCTATGTCCGTCTGTCTGTCTGTCCGTCTGTCTGTCTGTCCGTCTGTCTGTATATATACAAACTAGTCCCTCAGTTTTTATGCTATCGATCTGAAATTTTGCACCTGTCCTTTTCTAACAAAGAAGCTGCTATAGCATATAGCTGCCATACAAACTGAACAATCGGAACCAAGTGTTTGTATGGAAAACTCTTTCATTTGACGAGGTATCTTCATGAAATTTGGCGTGTATTATTATTTATGGCAATTATCCAATCCTCGAAGAAATTATATAGATCGGATGACTATAGCATATAGCTGCCATATTAACTGAACGATCGGAGTAAAGTGCTTGAATGGAAAATTTTTTTATTTGACGAGGTATCTTCACGAAATTAGACACGAGTTATTGCTTAAGACAACAAATTATTCTCCACAGAAATTGGTCAGATCAGATCACTATATCATATAGCTGCCATACAAATTGAACGTTCGGAATCAAGTTCTTGTAAGAGGCCTTTGTATTTGTGAAGGGTATTATAGCTTCGGCGCAACCGAAGTTAACGTTTTTTCTTGTTTAATCTATTTACAGTTTTGGTGAAT